AAGAAAATGTTTGAATAGCTACATGATGTAGCTATTCCAACAGGGCCTACATGTAGCTCGGCACACCAAACTCCATGCCAAATTTTGTTGCAAGAGGAATTCCATAAAGGGGGAGGCGGGTTGCTAGAGCAGATTAACTTTTAAATACAAACAAAATACATCAAGAGAAACTAGTGAGCAAGCAACAGGTTTCACATGTCTCTTGAAAGTCTTTCGACAACTGTACAGGAATAAATTCTGCTATATGTGACTACTATATATTCACACAGGTATTCAGTGCTCGCTGCCATACCGGACTGATAGTTCGTATCTTTATAATGTGAACGCGGATACTATGTCATTTCAAAAACTAGCAAGCGCAAAAGACAATTGTGAAAATTTTCTAGCATGTACCAGTAGTAAGCACTACAAGCACATGTACATGTAGCATGTGAAGTAAATAACAGAAGATATGGGAACCATCTAGAGATACATGAACAATGTGTAAAGGTCACTTGATTCTCGGTGCGAAAGGGAATGTGAACATGTGACATCAGGGCAAGTTTTTGCACTGCGAATTCGCAAAAAGCTGAATTTCGCAGCGAATGCTTCGTGACATCAAATTCGCATCGCATTTCCATGAAGTATGAACCGGCCCTATTGGTTCTTGTAAAAGTTATGAAGCAATACAGCATCTCACGCAGAAGGGAACAGTCCCCCGGTTGGGAAAAAACACCGTAATTTTTACCATCTCAACCCTTCTTCTTTCAGCTTCCAGAAAAACATTTCATAATGACACATTGCATGGTACTGTAAGTTGTCTCATTCACAATTTTTTCTGAAGTCCAGCTTTGGAAATTTGCAGAAATATTATCCCACAATTCACATACATACATATCAATTCAGGTAAATTGTGATTTAACCCTAACCTTTCTCAATCTTCCAAAATCCTCCTGGCGGTTTTGGAGGATTTTGGAGGATTGAGCTGAATGGCAAAAAAGTGTTGGTTGATTTTGGAGGATGCATTGTGTCGAGTTCGTAGGCTGTACCCTGCACTGTTTATGTTCAGCCATGCATAATTGAGCCCTGCATTATGCTCGGTATCATCCACACTGCTTTTGAATGTCATCAGCACTGTCTCAACCCATTAACAGTGATTGTTGGAGGATTTTGAAGGACTGAGGCAGTGGTCACCCCCCCCCCTCCCCCACTGAACAAATTCAATAAATAACATGATTTTGGAGTATTGAGGCTGAATCCATTTGTTTACATGGTGGCAATTGGAGGATATTGTAGGATTGAGGATGGTTCCTAACCAAAAGGGCCTAAGGGGTTCGGGTTAATGAGCAGCATTTCTATGTATTCTCCCATTTTCAAGTCATATTTTGGGATCCAGATCTGCAGGATTTTGAAACCCTAAAATGAGAGAAAAAAGTCAAAACAACTTGGATTGTAGTAGTCTATTTACAGATGGTAGTTCTTCAGTTGAAACGGAATGTCATTACATTGAACCAAATCATGAGAATTCATGTACATATTCTTCTTATGAAGATGTGTGCGTATGTGAACATGTACAAATATGCCAGCGCTTTGCTACCATTTCTAACGCGTTCCCTTCCACTAAACCATTCAACATGCCAAATTGAATGAAAGCTTTTCTTTTTCTTTTTTTTTCACTTTCATGGCAAGTTTTAGAACATGGGAGAGAGGCTGGTTGGAATGAACAGAAATTGTGGATGTTAAGGCCTCACTAAAGCATCTTACATCTCCAAGAACGGAATATCTTACATCTCCGAGAAAAGAATATCTTACATCTCCAAGAAAAGAATATCTAAAATGTACATGACACATCTGTCTTTGCAATCCAATTCTTGTCACTGGTGATCAAACTTTGAAATTAAAACAGCATTTAAACATTTCCATCCTCTACAAAAAATCCAAGCCCCTCCCCTCCCCCCCCCCCCCCCCCCCCGAAAAGCTCACTGAGGAAACCTATTTTGATCATGTTTTTCTGACAACCGTACCAGCCAAGAATAACATACAGCTGTTCTGTTGACAATAGAATTAAAAGCTGCTTCAAATTATGTCAAGATGTTTTTTCCTTTGCTCCACCCATTTTTTTTCTCTCGCACGAAACAGTCAACATGAGTGTATGAAATTAACATTTTGACATGTACACGTACATGCTCTTGTACTATATGTATCAGGAATGTGAGCAAGCAACTGCATGAACCATATCGGTGTCAGCAAGCAAACACAGATCTGGCGTTATTACTTGAACAAGTGCAATTAGTTTGCATAATTTATACTTCCAGGGTAAATCCTGAGATACTATATATTTAATTATGATTTTCATGGAGAATAATTAAAGCTAGATATACAGTGAATGTTTCTATCTCATAAATATTCTGAAAATGCCAATCACCGACATGGGACAACTGAATGATATTGGCTTGCAGCATGCACATAGAATGCACATATGTGTAGCCACGTGTACACGTACATTTGTATTTCAAGTGCAATACATACCTGATACAATGTTCTTATGTGAATTTCATGTGCACAGCATGTGGGCACATGAATGTTTTACATGCTCTGTTAAAGCATGGAGGAATAAGAACACATTCCTCCATGGTTAAAGGGAAGACATGACTTTACTGTTGGAAAATACACTATGAAACATACGATTCGTGTTAATGATTTCGTTTACCCACAAATGCCACTGATGTTTGTACACATTGACACACATCACTTCCTGCTAGTACTCCAATTTCCACCAAACTTCATTTTCATCAAAATTTGATTTAATTTCTGGAAATTCCTCAATTTGCCAACAAAAAACAGCAAAGTCCATTGTGCTGTGCTTACGTGTTACATTTGTGAAAATCCTTGATTTCCATTTAACCTTTCCATGCTCATCTCATGTCCTACATAAATGGTCATGCTATGCTACAGTACAAGTATCTGAAAAGGATATTGTTTTTAACCTGTTGGCCCATTTTGATGACCATTATCTTTTGCACCAGTACAGTGCATGCTCAAAAAGACCAACTTCAGTTTGTTTCAAAAGAGCTGGCTTATTGGTGGTATTGGGCTGTGGTCTCGGGCGGCAACATGCCAATCTTGACTCACAGCCCCAACAGCAAAACTCGGACGTATGCAAACATGCATGTCAGTATCAGGGCTCCGCCATGTTACATGTAACAATGCGTTTGGAGCACCCAAACCATCCAATTCAATGGCCAACCTTTGTGGAATGCTACGTGTAGCAATGACTACGGTAGCATGTTCTCAAGACTATTGAGAACATGCTGGTCAGTCAAACATTCCAAAAATGGCTCCTACACAAGTATGGCTGACCATTCCATGTAGCCACAATGTTGTATTTTTTAATGTGATGATAGTTGCTTACATGTACATATACAGTATGTATGGACGTACTTATGTGTAGATGTACATGTACATGTACATGTGCATATGTACATGTACAATGTACATGTGCATAATATGTACAATGTAAATTTATGCAGTGCCTGCATTCTAAATTTCTGGTATTCCATTTGTATGCTTTCTAATTAATGACAAAATAAATTGAAATTGTTGTGGACACTTTCGGCTAAAAGCTAGAGGGTAAAAGAAAACTTCAGGTGTTAAAATCAGTCGGCCTGGGCCCTCATTTGCAACCCCCCCCCTCACAAAACCTAATAATAAATATTTAGGTTAAGCCCCCCCCCCCCCCCCCCCCCCACTGAAACCCATCCCCTAAAAGGTGACAATGAAACACCACACTCTTTTTGTTGGCAAAATTAGAAGGGGTTTGGTGTTGTATTATTGTTGAGTAATTTTTTTAAGCCTCGATCGTCGATCTTCCCCCTTTAATCAAATTTAAATGAATATTGTGCTTATGTCCAACATCACAGCTAAGAGGATAATTTTTAAATTGGAATAAAATGTAGGGAGAACGATTCAAGATTTTAAAAAGTTTCTTTATTTTAAACACAAGCTTTTACTCAAGCCCATTCTCGGAGTGCACTGAATGTGCAATCATTTGATTTTTGGAGGTTAAGTTTTTTTTTTCTGCTTCATGCCTGACTCATGATTCATTGCTGCATGCCTGGTGAAAACTAATTTCAAAGTCTGAGCTAAATTTTCATTTGATGTCAACACTCATGTTGAAAATGAAAAGTTTGACAATCTGCAGAACAAACCAAAAAAAGTTAATTTACAAACTTAAAAGTGACAACTAATCAATATTTCATATGCAGGATGACACAACCAGTCATACACATATGTACAGACCCCGGGAACACCCCAGCGCCTATCCCCCACACAGCCGTACTGACGTAACACAAAGTTTACAGGGAACTCATGCTGATCACAGACTGAGCACTTTCCTTACGCTTTACCCACGTGCACGAAACCGGCATTTAAAACACAAATCAGAAAAGATCTCTGAAATGTTTCTCAAAGTTTATCATTTAATACAACTGGATACGGATAATGTTGATGATCTGTTCTTGTTCTCCGGGATTTTAGTGACAATTTTATGATTTTTGTCCCGAGAAACAGTGCGGTAACCCAAACTAGAGCCGGGGGAACCCCTCTGTACGAGTCATTCGAATGTGCGTAGTTACTTCACAGTTTCAACTAGGGAGAATTTACTTAATCGAAAACAAAAACATGTCCTATTTTTTCAAAATTACAGCAAGAATAGCACAAAAGGTCTTATAGAGAGAATTCTACCTGATTAATGCATTTTAATATGCTTAATTTCACCATTTCAGCAAGAAAAACAGCAGTTTGGTGAATACATTTTTGCGGGGATCGCGCCGCAATCTCATTACTGCAAGGATACTACCTCTCTCTCGTCCATGAGTGGTACTTCCCACGAGATGGCGCGATTTCGGCGTGAAAATTGAACTAAACTACCACAAATGTCGAATTATGGTACCGTGTTTAACAAAATTGTGCTAAATTAATTCAAAAATCGCAATACTTTACGGTTATTAAGATTAACTTACCCGCCTTACGACAATTTCAGTAAACGGATTACAGTGACCTCTCGCGCAGCTGATGAAAGCCGTGTGAAGCAGCCTATTCAAAATGCTCCGGCCAATGGCGAGTAGCCCGTGCGCACACGCCTGCACGCCGCCGACGTACAAATCTCCTTAGCTTGGGCACTTTCCAGTTAAAAAATATCTCAAAGTTACACGATTTCCACATGAAAAAAATACTTCCACTTCACCTCAATTACATCACAGACGCACTAAGCCCCCGAAGGATTGCTAAGTAACTACGTGTGCGCCCTGTATTGTCCGAACGGGCCCAATTTCCGTAAAAAATGGCGAAGGTTCAAATGGCTGTTTACCGTAGGGGTAGCCCGGTCTGTATTCAGGGCTAAACACAACAATTTGTTTACAGATAAACAACCTCCTTCTACATATCCGGCGGTGTGACACGTGACATGCCACCTGGCCAATAGAGTGTGGCCGGCTTATACACATCATACCTGTTCACATGACAACTGTTCAGATGCACATTGTAAGGAATGTTGCCATTCATGTCAATCTCCCAAGTGAAAAAAAATGTAAACAAACATTTTGTTTACCCATTAATCTCGGGGTCACGTGACACCGTTCCTTTGTGAATTCGTTTTAATAAAGTTGACATTCTGTCATGGTCATTGGGTGACATGTCCATCTTTTGGAAAATGTTTGTTATTGAAAATCGATCACATGGCATATACATAAATGATCACATAATCAATATTCTTTTCCACTTCTTTTTGAAGACTCTGTCAATGTCACACTACAATGGTATCACACTTGATGTCGCATGTCACAATGAACAAGAAAAATGAAGCTTTTTAGTTAACCTTTCCGATAACTTTTGTCAAAATAGTAAATTGTATCGCAGCATTCTGCACTTTTACTGATTTTATCAAAACTTTTCCAAATTAAAACACTATGCTAATTTTCAAGAACTTTCTGCACTCGAAAATGTCACATATATTAATAACATCATAATATAGTGCTGTGTATCTCAAAAATAATTTGATAATAAGTATGGTAAAGTAAGCTGATGAAGTTCTATTTTTACAGTACTCTATATTGTCTGCTGGTACTGCAGGTCACGAACCCTGCAGGAGTAATATGCTTATTTAATTATTTATTATTTTACTTTAATGATCTATATATTTGGATAGTTTAAAAAGTTTTCAAATAATGATCACATTTTCCCCCCTTCGTTTCATATTAAGGTTCTTGGGACAATAACAACAAAATCAAAATGAAGAAATTTGATTTGGGTATTTTGGGGGGGGGGGGGATTTTGTTATTTTATTTTAAGCATCACCATTCTGACTCAGCTACAGAACTTCAGCATTCAAGTTTATTTGTTCTTCGAGCATCTAGGCTAATGGTTGGAAATTACTCGATGTACTTAGTCTATACAACGAAATGTTATAATTGTATCTCAAACATGTAAAGGAACCTGGAAAACCATATCAATCAAGAATACAAATTTCAGGGCTAACTTCATTGAAATGACGGTTCAGTTTGAATTCTCCGTCAAGTTTATGTGTTTTACAAATGCCTCTTTTTGTTACCCTAATGAGCTATTTTGCCGTGATTATTTGTTTTTCTTAAAAGTGGAGTTGGACGTGAGTGACCCCGAATTATCTTCATACTTGGCCTACAATTCCCTCATGTACCATGGATCTACATATTCTTGGCGCATGTCTTTGCCCAAACTCCTTTATTGGCTGTTCTACAAAAGATGGTGGCGGATAGTTATTATCTTCCGCCATGATGTTTTTCTGTAACTGGTACTATTTTTTTTTCGAAGGCGTCATGCGTCACTGCGATAGCGGGGTCACGTGACGACGGCAATATTTGCCCATTGCCATGCCGCGTCCGGTCACACCCCGCCTTTCTACATCATCACATGCAAATGAGTCACGTGACGCCCTACATGGCCGCTCGTCCCCGCTTCTTTCTCTCTCGGTCTCTCTCGAGCCCTTTGGCCTTTTGTGCATGAAGTCAATACCAAGTCACGTGACAACCGTATCGGTAAAATGTATTATAGGAGTATGGATACAAAAATCAACGACTGCCGTCTGTGCCCGTGCATAAGCAACGCGCAGACTCAGTCCAATCAAAAGCCGTGACGCATATTGATCTAAAAGTGGCTGCTTTGCATTTTTTACATGATTGTGATAATAGCGTCCAATCCAACACCGATCCTCAAATCTTATCCAAAGTGAGAATTTCTTGAGGACGCATTCTTTAAGGGTTAAGAATAAGAGAATATTCCCTTGTGTAATTTAATTCAAAGGACAAGAAAAACATAATTCATGTTCAATGGTATGTCACCCGTCCGTCCCCGGGCAGAGACCGTTAACAACAGCATCTGAACATGGAGCAATAACAGATCTCTTGCCTTATAGGATCATTAGCATTTATCCCAAAAGTAACCGACAGATTTATTATCAAAATGCTAACTTGGATTAAAGATCGACACAGGTACTAAACACCTCGGGAAATTATTCCGTCTGGCTTGTTGTCATTTAGAAGAAATCAAGAAGTATATGCCTTCTAACGATCGGTATAATATAGACCACTTTTTGGAGATAAAGCGTGCTAGCGACGAAATCGTGTTTCGTGCATGTTTTTTTCACTGTTCTCTCGAAAAGTTGTTGGGATTCCCCAAACTGAAACTTCAACAGGTTAGGTTTTGCTCTTGTTCTTGGATTTGAGTGGTGTTATTATTGGAAACAAACAAAATGCATGAAAAGCCAATGATCCTGTATGCCTGAGCCCAGGCAACGAGTGTCTCATTGTCTGCAGCACTCTTGCATCAGATCAACACATTTCATCAGACCCAATGCATATGAAAAGTCAATCGGTAAAACGGTCTTTTCATACGATCTAATAACTTCTTTTGTCGAAGAGAAACATAAAAAAACCACAGAGTGAAACGTTTCCATTATTCTATAATAATACAAGCTCATGGTCTACAAGGTACAAGCATGAAATATGTCGTGTGCGATCATTATGAAAATATCAAGGTCGCGAGACTTTAGAAACCTTTCTACTCTGTCGGCTGTGTCTCTATTTGGAGAGCCACACGACAAGTCATTTCGATATTTTGGTTGTTCACTTTCATCCAATGCATTTCGGGTTTGCATTTCGTTCAAGCGTTTCATAATTATACCCAAATCATCCGATCCTTTTTGAGACGGGTCGCTTGATTGGTCTAAAGTAATATCACGTGATGAATCTTGAGCAAGTGGGGTTGAATTAACGTGGTTTTGAGTTGTGATGTTGTTTTACATAATGTAATCTGTTGCCGACCTTATTGCTTCAAGTAACATCAGAAAGTACTCTCCTATACACTTCGAAAGCGTAAAAATCCATTCTTCCGACTGAAGATCGGTACAAGACGTATAGAGCAAAACTTATTCAATCGAAATGACTGAGTTTCCACTCCACTTTACTGCAGTCTTTCTTTTTCAACTATTTCAATCTAACAAAGCTTTTATTTTTACAAGAAAATGTCTGGTCCCTACTTTCAGCAGATGACAGAGTGACAATTCACTCTTTAGAAATAAGAGAGCAGGGCCTACAATATCCAGTTTTCTTCTTATCAGTTTCTACCATGTAGGCATACCCAAGCATCTAGCAAGACCGTAAACGTTATTTAACTTGACGGCTTTTTAATAAAGCTCCCCGTTCTCACGGAATAGTCACTATAAAGTGAGGCGTTCGATCGTCACCATGCACCGCCTTAAAAAAAAACCCGTTTAATCCTTTCACAATAACTTATGAAGGACACGCAATTAAAAAAGTAGTGCAAATAATTGTGGGGAAATCATTATTATAGGCCTAAATAATGTATGCCTTTCGTGCGCATGAGTCGCGGCGCAAATGGAAGTCCTAACCCCGGGTCACAAAAATCCATCCAATGAGAGTGAAAAAAACAAGAGGTCATAGCGCCCACGTAACCGCACACATATCCCATGTGGTCTAGTGGTTAGGATTCGTGGTTTTCACCCACGCGGCCCGGGTTCGATTCCCGGCATGGGAAGTGTAAATTTTTTACCTAAAAGATAATGCATAACGTGAAAAATAAGGTCAATTGTACCAGTAATTATACCACCGTGTGTCACTTCATGGAAAAGAAACCGTTCCCAAAATCGCGCAAATCTGAATGACTTTGGGTTCGTCGAAATTGTTATAAAACTTGGTAGAAAGCGAGAAGTTTATTTTATTTATTTTTAGAATGAAAGCATGCGGTATAGCATTTTCTGCCCGAACTTGTATCACGTCAAGCAGAGATACAGAAGTTAGTAAAACCTGGGAGATTACTGAACAGTCATGCATGACCACTAACGCAATCTGTTCTACGTTTATTCGCATTCTGCTTTTTCATGGAATCTGCAACCTTTAACTTTGTGGAAGGATTTTTTTGTGGGCCTATACTTTAGGCCTATATCCAAACCTTGTTTTCTTTGCACATATAGGCAATGCACTCATGAATGACAACCGTAATGGTTTTCGATTTGTGAGCGGAAAAAAAAGCATTCTTATTATTTAACAATATGGATATAGCCCGCTCGGTTACGGACCTAAAAACCTTGCTCGAAGTGATAACGATAGGGCTTGTCTCCAAAACCCTGCGACATTATTCCGCCTGATGATGGTATCATTCGGAAGAAAATAATAACTGAAGGTGGTTTAGAAAGTGCACACTTTTTCGTGAATTAGCAATAGAATCCAGTCTGTTGTTCACATTACATTCCGATTGGAAATAAATCGTTCCGTACCCCCACTGTCAGGCAATCAACTATTGGTGAGTTTATTCAATGGTAAAGAACAGTCATAATGATGTTGAAAACAGTTCATCAGCATTTGACATTAATATTGAACAATTTTGACATTTTTGTTCCATTTCGGGCGTCTGAAACCCTCCGAAAAAGCTCTGTATTATTGATGGGCAGCAAATAATTTGAAATTTGTAAAATTATGTTATAACTAAACATGGGCGATTTTGTTTTCGTTCGATGTCGCATTAACAAAAAAGTTGGAAAATAGCAACTGGGGATAAAGCTCAAAAATAGTAGGTACATTTTAAACGTGTTTCCTATGATCAGATATCCCCGAAACGAAGACTACATACTGAACCAATTCATTCATTGGGTATATAACATTATGCTGCAATCAAGACCTCCGGAGTATCAACATTTAACATGGTTCCCGTTTTAATTCGTGGAAACTGTTATACCCGAAAATCGACCAAAGTCGGCATCATCGCAGCCGTTACCAACCGTGTAGAACTATATCTGGTAAACTGTTTACCTCCTGGGCTGTTCGGAGCACTTTGGAGTCCTCATAATTATGCATTTTCTGGAGGGGGAATCGAGCTATGTAGGTCTAGTCGTAGTTTCAAGCAATTTTTCCAAACCGATTTTCTTCCTAAGTTAAAGCTGTATTTCCCGTGCTACAGGGTGAGTCAAAAAAGCGGAACCCAAACCCCAAAAATATATTTCATATTTAAAAAAATATGAAGCACCAAAAACAATAATGACTTGAAAGCCAATTTCATAAGCTACTTTTAGATGAAAAAAATACTAAAATTGCTCAATCCGTTCAAAGAATATCCTCATTTAAACGCAATGACCTTAAAACCAGTTCGTCCAAAAAGCAATTTATTGCGTATTCTGACTGTTTGGAACAACAAAGAAAATGACACGAAATACTTGTTTCAACAACTGCCAACAACTGTAGTACACAATATCTTTATTAACAACCCTGGTTAGGCAAACAATATGATTTTATGAAACCAACTTTTTTTTTAAAAGACGGGCCTTCAAAAGGATTTTGTTGAATATTTTAAACTTTTAAACTGAGGTTTTATCGCTGGTGATGTTTGAAAACAATTGTGACGACGATTCTTGAATTCGCGTTTTTAGACGTAAGAGGTTTTAGGGTCATTGTGTTTAAATGGTAATATTCTTTGAACGGATTGAGCAATTTCAGTATTGTTTTTCATCTAAAAGTAGCTTAAGAAATTGGCTTTCCAGTCATTATTATTTTTGGTGCTACATATTTTTTTAAATATGAAATATAATTTTGGGAGTTTGGGTTCCGCTTGTTTTGACTCACCTTGTATTTTCGAGTTTCCTATGGCAATAAGAAAGACATTCCCTTTTGAATGAGGCGTCGAACAAACGGAAAAAACAACGACTTTTAGTAACTGAATTATTTCTTCACAAAATTCGAATCATTCGGCTCTCGCAGGGTGGGTTATTTGAACACAAAATGAAAGCCCCTTTCAGAGGGTTGCAGACGCCCAAAATTGGAATAAAGTAGTTTCTTTGTTAAAACAAAGCATGCAAATTAAAAATTCTACATGTAAATCCTACATGTTGTGAAAAAAACTGTGACATGATGACTGATAGGCCGAAAATGATTCCAATCCCAACCGTAGCCCTTTTCACAACATTATGATTTTACACAGCTTATCGTAACACGACATTGAAATTTATCAAGGCAAGGAACTTGGTCAGTGTCCAGAAATGTTGTTGTGATTAATTTACTATTGTGTAGTGAGACGTGATGGAAATTAAATGAGACTCGTAGGGGTTTAGGCCAAGGATAAGGATTATCTACACACTTCAAAAAATTCAAAATTTACTTCATGGTTTTGTAGTTATTTCAAAAATAGTCAAACGGACACTTTTTCTGGGGGAGGACATACTATAGAACAAACGCTAACAAGCATTATGCATTTTTTCATTCACACAAAAGAAGATGAAACTTTCGTTCGCACTAAATTTGAAGCACGTAAAATACATTGAAACATGGGGATGCCCAAATATATTGAAAATTCACTATATATATAAAAAAAAAAAATTCTTCAATTTCGTTGGTACCCCCTATGATTGTGCACGCATGCGGCGAACTCTTCATCTCGCAAAGAAATCGTAACATTTTGAAGTAAGCACATGGGGGGGGCCTTTTCCGTCACAGGGTTTAAAGAAGAACAAGTACAGAAAGTCAAAAAGGTTTCATATTTAGGTTCGAGTTTTATTCGAATATTCAGGCTCGTTAAAAACTCCCAATATACATGTACAACTATACAGGCTGTCCTTATCAGTTAGCGGCGATCGTGCGAGATAATTTTCCAATTTTAATTCTGATTTTAGTACAAATCCCGAACAGTTAAATTAAAAAGTCTTTGATTTACTTATTTACAAAAAAACTGATAAATACAAAAACATTTCTTCCTAAACTCCAGGGCCTAAACACATAACACAGGTTCGGTGTAATTAAAATGTGGTTGGAGGCCCAATTATGGGTTTGATCAAAACGTGAACGGACATTCAAAAATACACTGGACAATTCAAATTATCTGATTGGTCAAAACAGGCTTTAACAATAACGATATTCGTTCCATACCTGCATTAATGCGTTTTCCTGCCTGTTACTTTAATTTGACATGATACTACAAGAGTTGTTTGCAGATAAATATTATTCCGAGGGCAGAGATGTAGCCGAATGTACATACAAAGTCGTAATTTGGAAAACGCGTGATGAACCACCCGCGAATTGTGCCTTTTAATACAAAATAATTACAATGTATTTCTTTCTTTCCATTACTGTGTCGGTGGGTTCCGTTGGGGGAGAAAACGAGATCTGAGTTTAACTCCAAAAAGCTGGGAAAGGGTTCGTCCTCAATCGTTTAGTTTCTTGATAGTACAGTACTACTGTAGAAACTAAACGATGGAGGACGAACCCTTTAGTGCATCCAGGATTTTCCAGCAGGGGATGGCTAGGGCGTCGAGTCTAAGATTTTTCAAGGGTGGGTGAATGAAACATTGCAGTCAACGCATACCCTCTAAGAATTCTGGGTCAGATTTGACACGGAATCCGGGTTACTATTTGACCTGATACGTTTCATGGTCCGATTTGACACATCGCTGGATCGTTTTCTGGGTCATTTTGACACAGCAACATTGGCAAAGGTGTCATTTTGACATCAAGGAACGTGTCATTTTGACACTGTAAAGTATCTGGTCAAACAGAACCCGGATTCCAGGCCAAATAGAACCCAGATTCCAGGTCAAATAGAACCCGGATTCTGGGTCAAATCTGACACCAAACTTTTAGACGAAAATTTGCCTGAATCAATGAATCAAGATTTACAATGTTGAGTGATGCCATGATACAAGTAACTTAAGTCACTTTGGGATTTTCCCCATTATGTAAGTAATTAACATTAGTCGGGGGGGGGGGGGGGTAGCCATCCTAAAAACCTACCGTGGATCAGCCTTTGGACTTATTCAGATGATTTCTTTAATTGTGGTGGACAGCTAATGCACTTTTTAGTCACCATTAAAATATCTGATGAATACACTTTTCTGTCCAATTCAAAATCGGTGTGCTAATAAACGGACATTACAACTATACTCAAGAAAAAAGAAAAACATAAATAAGACAAACGTTGTTTAAAAAAAATACTGACGTGACGGAAAATCTGGTTCAACTAACTTGGACATGTCCTTGAATGACTTCTTTAGAAATCTGTACTAAAATGTAACAACCACTAAAAAAAAAATTGTGTAAAACTAAAACGCTCGCAGACACCAATTTCTGAAAGATTGTATCTCCAAGAAAAACAAAATTGATAATGTACAGTATTTACAGAAATGTACAGGAAAAAACACACCGCAGGATATTTCATGTATCCCGCAGCAATATCGTTTGGTGATACCACAGCAATAAGTTAAAAAGATAATGAGACAAATAATACACAAGTATTTGTTTAATATAAAAGATACATACATACAGTTTTTTAGCTATCTACGACTCCATATAACTCACAGTTTTCCGTCTTCCCAATTTCTCTTCATTTTTTTTTTTACAATATCGGCCCTGTGAGAAAATACCAAGGCTTCTTGAGTTTCATTGTAATAATTTCCCTAATAATAAAAAAATCTCTCTCTCTCTCTTGTATAAAGTAGGGATATTTTTTTTAACAGGATTGAAAATATCCCAAGTAGGCGTGATTATACACTTCAACCATGGAAATGTATTTCTGTGACAACTGCGATAAAAACTCTCAACGCTTATCACTGTTTCAGTGATGGCTCTGCAGGTCACCGACAAAACATGTAAAAAATATTATAGAAAGATCAGCAATATATTACTGTAGATCCTTTTTTTGTTTTAATTTCCAGTAAACTCACAGAGAGATGATCAATGAATTGGATAAAGCATTTAAGGAGTCAACTTGGAAATCAACTTGGCTCATACTATTTGGTATAAAATTCATTCCAACTCCACAGTTTCCAGTGATGTCCGTTTTCTGAACCTGCCCTAAAAAAAGTCCTTTACAATTTGAAATTTAATATTTGGGGGGAAAATGCAATCATCAGCAATGAGGACCGCTAATATTCATGCAAATTAATAAAAATTTTAACTTCGGATTTCAGCAAAAGTTTTTTGTTGCAGTTTGTTCTGTGTCTACAGCAGTATCCGGGGAAACTTTCCAACTTCTGCCAACAGAGGGCGCTATATAAAGCATTCATCTCAGAATTTTGTTCATGCAAGATGTCGATGTCTGTGCCTCGCCAAATTCAGCAAACTGATCATTTTTACCCAGATTTGAAAATACAGGGTTTCCAAGATGCAAAAATAAGTCTGCATTTTGCACCCAAAAAAAAATCCCTACCCAATTTTTGTACAGACTGTCGCTCAATATCTTTTTTTGTATTCTTTATCAAAATATGCACCGCCAGTCTGCAATATCATGAACATTGAAAGGAAACAGAGAAATTGGTCCGTGTAGGTTCTGTATCTGATGGGGACTTGAAACTTGAAAGGGTGACAGACACCGAGTATCGTATCACAAGATAAAAGCATGTTTTTATATGTCACACCATGACCGTATGTGATAAAAATGACCTCCATGGCAAATTGGGTGGCAATTTTGGTAAGAAAATGCAAAATGCAAAAAAAAAAGGACAAAAGACAAGTTTACGAGCCAGATATACTTGCAAGGGACATTTAGAAAAAGTCTTACACTTTCAATGCTTACGGTGAGAAGGATGACAATTATGATAACTGATCTGGAGGCTTTGATACGGCTGATTTTGATGACCCAGGGCAGGACAAAAACAATGGTCCTGCTGATAGTATTCTAAGGCTGCACAAAATGACGGGATTTCATCACATTGTTTTGTTTTTTAATACAATAGATGTTAAAGGCATATAGGATCATTTGCTTTTCATGTGTGTTAACACCACTCAAAATCCAAAGAAGAGAATTCAAAACCTAAACTGTTGAAATCGTAGCTCAGTGGATATTACACTTTTCGAGAAAACAGTGAAAAACCATGCACGATATTTTGATCTGAAGAAAAACAATCACTGATCGTTGGAAAATCACCCACACTTCTAGGTTTTTTCTGAATGACAGCATTTTGATAATAATGTGGCAGGTTAACATTGGGATTAATGCAAATGATCCTTTTTTGCCTTTAATTTTGCCAACACTAAATTCTGTCTTGTCAGGACTAGAAACCATATCGTATTAGACAGTTAAACCATGGCTGCATGGTTAAACCCGGTCACTTTGAACAGGAATTGATATTAAAAAAAAATGTTGAGACCTGCATGTATAATATCTCCCATCTGGTTCAAACCCCTCGCCTAGTCAATGACCATCCAGGAAGGGCCAAAAAAGTAGAAGAGAAAATCTTCACAGCCCAAACTATAGTTGGGACTGCCTGAACTATAGTTGGGACTGCCCGAACTATAGTTGGGACTGCCCAAACTATACTTGGGATTGCTGAACTATAGTTGAGACTGCCCAAACTATAGTTGAGACTGTCCAAACTATAGTTGAGACTGCCCAAACTATAGTTGAGACTGTCCAAACTATAGTTGAGACTGCCCAAACTATAGTTGAGACTGCCCAAACTATAGTTGAGACTGCCCAAACTATAGTTGAGACTGCCCAAACTATAGTTGAGACTGCCCAAACTATAGTTGAGACTGCCCAAACTATAGTTGAGACTGCCCAAACTATAGTTGAGACTGCCCAAACTATACTTGGGACTGCCCAAACTATTCTTGGGATTGCTGAACTATAGTTGGGATGAGGCTATAGTTGGGGCGAAACATATGCAACTAATATTTGCTGTGCACAATTTACCACAAAGCATAATGCAAAGAGTTTAATGAGAAACTCCTTCATGAACAGCGCGATGACAATAGCCCCCTCAACAGTCTGCTATTACAATATAAAAAATTATCCAATGGGAAATTCACTTGAATTTGGGGACAAGATGTAAATCCCCATTTTATAAATGTGGGTTGTTCTTTTACATCAGTATCAAAACATTTCAGATAGAATTTTTATTAGGAAAGAAGGGAAAAAGTCAACAAAAAAAAGAAAAAAATGGACAAGAAAAGAATAATTCTTATCTTGAGAAGAATTGGCACACTTTTTTTCTCGGGTATTTTTTTCTCTTAATCAGCAGAGGGGATGGGGTCCGATGCAGGGTGGGAAGCGAATGCTATAAGATGCTGGAGCTGGCTCCGTCACCCTGGAGTAAATGGATCGGACAGGGGCCTTCCGTCCACTGAGGAAAAGACAAGAGACAAATGCAGATCGTTAATATCAACTTGCCATTGATTACAGGCAGATCACAAGTCTGGTCAAACGTAAATCCCAACTCAATAAGCCAGTTCTGTATTTCAACTGCGCATGTGCACATCAAGATTTTCCGATTTTTCTTTCAGAATAAAAAGTTCATCGTATGCGTGCAAAAGCATAGAGGGTACCAGGAAATTGAGGAGATCATCGTGTTCTGAAGTATAACATTTTGCAAAAAACCTTTGGACAGCGAAGTGTTTTTAGGTGTCGTGTGTCAAAACTTTTGTGCGAACGAAAGTTCCGTCTCTTTTCGACTGCACGAAAAATTGCACAGAATGCAGATTTGGTTGCCACATCCCCCACAGCCTTGTGTGCATTTATCTGCCGCGGTTATCCCGAAAAAAAATCTTCGAATCTTGTTGTGTAACAGACTATTTTGGAATAACGAACTGGCTTATTCCCATCACACGTAAGAAAGGGATAACTATAGAGAGTTTCGGCACCCGTATCACATATCACTATCAATATTACATTTGACGTTATAAAGCCCGGTTCATACTTCACGCGAAAGCATGTGCGAAGCGAAATTCATGTCGTCAACAATGGAAGACGCGCTTCGAATGTATTGTCGACGTCACGGATTTCGCTACGCTTTCGCGTGAAGTATGAACCGGGCTGAACTCTTTTTCTCAAACGTGATACGAGACGGTGACACGGGGAGTGACACAGGGTCTTTCCACTGTTCCAACTTAATGATGACATCAACCTCTCCTTCTTAATGTCATGATGGACCAGACATGTCGGACTGCACTTGGAAACTTTTAAGAGTGAATTTGTTCACAGCATATACAGTGGAATGATGCTATACTGCACACCACTGTACCGAACATTTGGCTATACCGAACATCTTCCTTGGCTCCCGATTTTATGTACAAAACGTACCGAACATTGTTGTTGAAAAAAGTAAAGAGAAGAGCAACAACTGGGTATTACTTCCCCAAGGAATAGAAGGGGAAAGCCACCCATTGCTGTAGGTAGTAAGCTCAAAAAAAAATACTGTGTAATAACATTATTCAATAGTCGGCATGTATTCAAAGTTGTCTTTCAGTAACTACCAGGGCGTGCAGGGTGAAGTTCTGAAGGGCGCTATTTATTGAAAATCTTAAAATCGCTATACCGAACGATCGCTATTACGAACAATTTCTGTGGATCCCGTGATGTTCGTTAAAGCGGTGATCCCCTGTCGTGAATTTTGAGCATTTTTGTGACCTATAATTGTGACTTGGTTTCCTCAGCAGCAATACCTATACACAGAGGCGCGATGCCGAAACTGAATTTTGAGCATGACCTCACATATGCTTACACGTATCAGCAGTAGTCATTCCCAAGATCTTTCAAGATCTCATTCTTTCGTATCAATTGTTAAAATCTTCTTGGACAAAATTAGTCTAATAATGAGCCTGCAGAGTGTTATTATGTTTTTATATCTTCGCAAAACATAGCTTCAAGCAAGTTACTTTTTGTTACTTGCCTGCTAGGCAGTGTTGTAGTACTTGTACTCGGTACTCAAACTCGAGTACTACTCGAGTGCTTTTTTTGAGTACTCATACTCATACTCGAATGTGAAAGTACTCGTACTCGAAATGACGGTACTCGTACTCGGGCAGCAAAGTACTCCTACTCGACATATCCAAATTGTACTCGATCATCAAGGTACTCGTACTCGAACAGCAGTACTCAGGGGGAAAAATGGTATAGCTTGACTTACCACGGCCTTATTTTATCGATACTTTCAGTTTGAAATGGTTGATTTGTTTGAGGAGAAATCAAAGTTTCCTGATTTTCCTCTGTGCACCTCCGGACAAACACATTTAACAGCTATCCGTGAGTGGGTCTGTATATCGGTCTGACTGGGCCTGGGCCAATTACGCACAATGAACCATTTGCCATTTGGCCACATTCGGAAATACAAGTACTCGAACTCGTACTCAGAAGTACGAGTACTCGTACTCGGAGACCTGTACTCGGAGGTACAAGTACTCGTACTCGTACTCAGCAACCTAAGTACTCGGCAGTACTCGGTACTCGGAAAAAAGTACTCGACTACAACACTGCTGCTAAGCACCTCGAAGTATAAGTTTTTTTATATCCACAACCAGACTTTGTCTGTGATGTTCGTAAAAAAAACGTAAGCCTTTCTGTGCCCTTACAGAATCCTTGCCTTCAGCAACAGAAATCTGTACCGAGTGGGCAAGCTGTGGTCATTGTCATTACATGGCCATACCTGTATAAGGTTGTGTTCTGACTGTTGAGATGATTGGAAGTGATCTTTGAGCAGCTGTTGTGAGAAGGACGTGTGCATCTGGTAGCCGTCCCTTTCTCTTACCGGGTCCCCCTCCAAGTGGTACAAATCTGAACAAGGAAGAAACAACAGGTGCAGTGATGTTAATGCTAGACCGAGTCCGGTGATTTAGGAATTGATCCAGTGCACCGAATGACCAAACTAAACAAACAATCTTTGAAACTTAGCCTCATTTTTGTGTGCATGCATGGCTTTACGATAGAGGGCAGACACACAAAGGGAGAACAAAACACTCTTCAGTCTGCGAGCGTTGGGTCTTTTGTTGAAACCGGTCCTCGATGGTACAGTTATGTGCTTAGTCTATGGGAGAGTGTTATATTACTGGGACAAAGGAAACACAAAGCATTGTCCTCAGGCATATAGAAATTCACGACTGTGTGTTCAGGAGAGTGTACCAGCTCAAACAAATACACGAGCTATGATGAAAAGAAAACGTCAATGTGTTCCACTTACCTCTCAGTAAGGCAGAAGCCCATAGTTGAACATGTACATCTGGGATTTTCCCAGCGAGTTGCATGGCTGGTAAGACCATATTCATGCTTTCCTGAACGAAAAAGAGGTAACCGAAAAAGTTCAGCCTTTTTTTCTCCTTAAAATGCAACATACCTAGAAGTCTGAAATCATATAAACACTGAAACACTCGAAACAGAGAATTAAAATACTTTGATATTTAAAGTCTTTCTGAAGTTGTCATCTCAAAAACAAATACATTTTTTTCTGCATAGACAACTGTCAAGCTGCATTTTTTTGGATCACACATGGCCATTTTCATAGGCAACTTGCATTATCAAAAAAAAAGGAAACCCAGATATAAATGTAAATATAAATTATTTTTATATAAGTTAAAGATCATGTGAAACATCAGTGTGTCCTCTTTCCAATGATGCCTTGATTGTGTATCTGTGGCCACGGATGACTGATCATTCATTGTTCTTCTGTCAAGGTTCAAAATCTGTACCGAGCCAAGTTTTACCCAGCTAAGATTGCTGGCTGGTTTGTTATGCAAAGGTTGAAATGGACTATGCAAAGGTTGAAATGGACTATGCATAGGTTGAAATGGACGTGCAGAGCTTTGTGTTGAAAGAGGTGGTGGCCATGTTGAAGGCATTGGGCCGTGATGAGAGTGGTTAAATCACTGTGCCAAAATTGAATAAATTGAACTGTCTTCTTACTTTAAATTAATCCGTTCTACATGCCCAGAATACCAGTTACCCTGCACAAACTTGGCGCAGTACAGATTTTAACCCTTTACAGAATCCAAATGAATGCTCAGTCATCCGTGGCCTCAGACACACAATCAAGGTATCATTGGATTGAGGACACATTGGTGTTTCACATGATCATTGACATATTTGAAAACATTTTTTTTTTTTTTTTTATAACTTATACTCACATCTGGGTATCCTTTTTTTATACACCCTGTACAAAGGAAACTTGAGGAATGAATCACATTTTGCAAACAGCTAAATTCAGTCCCATGGCTACGGCATCTTTACTTTTATCCAGCGATTTCTCATATCAAGCCAGTGACATGATTTCCACAATTTTTGAATTCTATTAACACTAATGGTAAAGTTAAACGGGAACACTGGAATATCGGCACACCATTTGTTGGTCCCCACAGCTCTGGAACAAGTAGGGTTTGTACCCTCACGTCAGCTCTACTTACCCTTGTGCTTCCCAAGGAGAGGAATATATGCCCCAGTAGCACCAGTGAACAGGCCGTTAATCTATTCAAGTCTTCCTCGTTGGACATCTTTAACGTTTCCCTCAGATACCTCCTGGGTTTCAGACAAAACAAATGCAACAAAAGTGGTTTAATTACATCTGGCCACCTCACAGCTATGGTTATTTTAAGAGTCAAGACCAAACGTAGTTGATTATTTTAGACTTTGCCAATATCTTGGCCAATCTGATAGACAAACCATTGAGCTGATTTGACGAAACGTTGCATGTCTGAGTTCCAGGTTTTCACTTTGTTGTTGAGCGGGTTGAAATTGGGAGTTGATTACGAAATAGATTCCTGACTCGGGAATGCCAGTGGGTTTCGGCTCCAGGGCCGGAAAAATTTGCAACAATCGCAATGTACCATACATACTCACTTCGCAATACCACGCGTGTAATCTGTATGTTGACAATGAAAGCACAATACATACATTCGTGTATTGCCCTAGCACAGTGATCGCAATGGAGCAGCACATGTACAAATGATCCGAGACACGCACGCCAGTACACGCACATCATTTGACGTACAACGCGATTGCAGTGAGTCTACTATGTGAGCGCACTATGTACGAGTCTAGCACATGACAACACGTAGCGCATAACCAACTTTCTTACTGGCTCAAGAGTGACGATTAAACAACGCCAAACAGATTTTCCTATTGGCTGAAAAGTGACATGCACGTTTTTTTTTCTTTATTTTATTTCTCTTCAGTCTTTTTGATTCTGAAAAGGATTTGGTCGCTCCAAAATGACATTTGCAACCTCAGGCAACCTTCTCTTAATTACATTGACCCTATTTTTTAAATTTTGAACAGTATTTTGGGAAAGAAGGCGACTTTCTTACGTGATGTTTCAGTAGCGACCCTGCGAATCGACACACTCAAACAGCTGTCACCCGTGTTTGTTTTTAGTGGGCGCCTTTGTCGCTGCATAGTCGCCGTCATCATTTTTACCCCATAATTTCCCTCAAAAATCAAAACCCTGCCCTTTACCCACAAAATTAACCCTAACGATCCCCATGTAGCCAAACTCCAACACAAGGGTTTGGTGGAGTCCAACTGTTTATGTGTACACTTTAGTACCATAAGGTGTTGGAATCTGCAAGGGTGAGGGCGGTTCCTAGTAAATCACTCCAGGGGGTTAGAGTTAATCCTGCAGATATGCAACATGGTGTTATCGTAATCTACTTAGGTGAGTCAAAAATATAAAAGTGCACTTTCATTCTCTTATAGAAAAGGGGTCCTAAACTCCACAATCCCTGCAAATTTTGTTTGCCAAGTTAACATCAGCAGGGAACCAGTTACTTACAATTTACATCACATGAAATTTCGACTGGTAACCAGTTTTTGCTTAGCGAAATGTTTTCTGTGCTAAGAACAATTCTGGGCTGAGCAGCTTCCATGCGAGTGGTCTCGGGTCTTCTGTCTTGACTCCAAAACGGGGATTTTTTATTAGTCACTTACTTTGCTTCGTTGTATCTCGCTTGAAAGAACGCCTGCAGACCCTGGACGTAGTAGGATGCCGCTCGAAGGCTGTGTGAATTTGTGGGTAACACCTCCGGGTTGATCCGCTCTAATAATGTTAATAACTGAAGAAAAAGAAAATACAGAAACAAAATGGATTTCAATGGCCAAGGAATTGGAGTAATCATTTGGGGAATATCCCTGTTAATAGTACAGAAGATATGTGAATAAATTGTGCCTTTGATGATAGAAGAATGAAATTTTAGCATCTGGTTAGAATTTTCCTTTACAGGGATTTTGGTTTTACTGAGATTTCTATACACACGTTTTCACTAAATCAACCCAAAAAACACACGTCTGCTTGATAGATCATATTCATGGGAGGTTGTAGATTTATAATTATTGATTCAGAAAATCTCAAAAACCTTAAATTGGTCATTTCAAACCCAAATTGACTTCACATGTACTTTGTGCAAAAACGACATCTGCAACTTTGTCCCGTTTCGTGGGAACAGGTCTCATATATAATTGCTGGTAATGTGATCCATTTGTAGTTAAACCATTGCTTGCCGTTCAACTTGCTCATTTGAGGTTAAACTGTTGGTTGTTCACTCACCTCCTGTTGCCTATTGCCAGACCTGAGGTAAACTATTGCCAGATTGAGGGATGCAAACTGCCATAATTCCGTTTGCGTCGTACTCTGCGTAAAAGAAAAGAAAAACGATTTAGAATATTGTTATATCTTGTGAACCTTTGACAGAATGTATGGGAACTATGAAAGGCCTATTCTCAATAAATAAAGTAGTAACACTACCTTTATGCAAAGGCCAGCTGAAAAATATTTTGAACTCTTCCAAGTAATTCTCTCAGGCCAGAGCTGAGTCCCCCATACTTTGATATTTCGGGTTATAAAATTTGAAACATGCCAGAAGAACCAGGTACATTTACGTGTTCAGGTACATTTTTCCAAACACATTTTGCACCGTCGGTGCATTCTATGTGCACATGATGGATTAACCCTAACCACCCCAACTCCATCAAAATCCATCACTCCATTTTGGTGGATTTTGGGGGACTTGGTCCAGAAGGCCTGGCGTTACTAAATATTGATGGAGTATGATGGACTTGGGCCTAATGGCCTGAAGCAGTGCTAGGGGTATCCGATTGATTTTGCCTAGCTTCCTGTACTGCTATTGTGATAAAAGCCACGTGTAGCAAGACCATGAATGTCAACCAGTGCGTCAGTGGTGGATTCCATTATGTCATGTACAGTTTTGTATAACACGCACACTGATGATGGATTTTGATGGAATTGGTCCAGTTTCTAATAAAAGACACTAGGGAGTTAGGGTTAAAATTCATCTTAGAATTTTTGTGTTGGCATGAAAAAAGCATGAATCTGTTGCTAAGGCTGAGTGATATAACAGCTACAATAACGGCAGGCATACTCACCGCTAGAGCTGCAGTGAACTGTGCCTCCGCACTCTCCATGCAGTTCATGGACATGGAGTAAAGCCCCAGTAACGTGTGTAGCTGAGCACCGTGCGTGGTGAGTAACCGTGGGTTCTGCGAGCACACCTGGCACGCTTGGGAAATCTGCAAACAAGAAGATTCGACAATGATAATGGAATAATAGTGTGGCAAGGGCCTGGTCGCCGAATAATAGCCCGAGCCGCTAGCAGACGAAATTTTACTTTATTTTTAGTTTATGTCTCTTAATAAAGCTATGATTTGTTCCTCTGCGATGAATTTAAGTAAAAATGATGTAAAATTATTTGCTTTATCGAAACGGTGGTGTTTTTTTTCCAACTTCAAAACCTACAAACTTTGAAGAATACAGCACAGGTAAAGCAGCCATCATAGCCAGTCAGTCAATGAACACAACTTGGACACACGGCACAAGACGCACACACACCAAACTGCCAAAAACCTGTCCCGTCTCGGTCACTGTCAAATTCTCTTGAGTTTTCCCTGAGTTTTGGTGTTTTCCTCAATTCACTGAGTTTTACCTCACTGGAAAATGGAAACCCATTTTCAAGGTTTTCCTTGATTTCCCGAGTGGCTGGGAAACCCTATTACACTCACAAATTTGGCGACCCGGTGCATTCATGGGACGAACCAGGATTCTTACCTCTTGTACAGCCAGGGATTTCTGGCCCATGACCAGCCTGCACATGATGATATGCTCCAGCAGCATGAGCTGAAACGCCGACAGGATGGAATGAGAGTCCAGTATCTTGAGCTTCTCTATCTGCAGCAGGGCCTTGTCTGTGTACTTCTGGGCTTTGTCCATGTAGCCTGCTTGCATTGAGTGCATCACCGTTACCTTCGGAAAGGTGGGGGGAGATTAAAAAGAAGTTAGCAGTGATTCAGATAAGAGCAACTTAAATCGGGGACAATTGATTTACTAGAGTTTATTATTCATTGCAATGTCAAGGGCCATCACATCACAAGTTCATCACATGCCCAGTAAAAAGTAAAAATCACAAGTCCTGTCACAAGTCCATTCTAGATTCCATGAAGAGACTTCGATGACGGGTTGATATAACTTACCAGATATACTAATACGCACATGTGCTCCTTCGGTAACCAATGAAAAAGATCCGCTGGGTTACTTGAGATTGGTTCTGCAAAGAATCAGTGGCACACACGAAATGTAAGACACAAACCAGAAAACCCACATTTCTGTACATAAAAAATGAGACCAATCAGGCCACAAAGAGGTAGCATTGTCTCAGTGCATTTCAGAAGAACTTTGCTAGCATTGCACCTGTCCTCGTTTAAAGGCACAATCCATCATTTGTAATTTGTGCATTTTGTTTGTTAGAAGCAACAAACGTGCTCAAAATCTAAAGAAGGGTGCTGAGCAACTAACCTGATGAAGTTTCAGCTCAGTGATATTGCTGTATATTCCGAGAAAAACAACATTCTAGGATCTCCATTTCAAATCAAAAGTCGCTGAGTCACATTTTGAATTGGGCCTGAATTCAGCGTCCGAGACACTGAATTCACTGAGCCGATTGCAGCTACGCGATGTCGCGCACGGAATAGACGAATTATAGCAACTGCGCATGCGTCGTGTCAATGCTTGTGCGCGCTTTGCATCTTTAGACGCAACGTTGGAATGCCAGAAAGAATAATTTCACACGGAGTTTAGTCCCTTTACTATCTTTAAACCAAGTATGTTTTTCAACAATAATTAGGTCAGTTACTTTTTGGACAGCTGCAAATGATGGACTGTAGCTTTAAATAATTATGAAGTTGGAGGCGAAATCGATAGAGCCGCTATGAACAGAAATGTGCTAAGCCCAAGAATTCAGGTTACCGGTCAAAATGTCATGCACTTAACATTAACTGTGACTGGTTCTCAATCGATTATTGCCAAGCACAAATATTCTGAGAAGTAATTTCCGCTTAGAAGATTACATTTTAACTTCATGAAAACACCCAATATTTCCTCCCCCAACTCACCGTCATCTGAATGCAGCATGGTAATCGTCTGTATAGACTGCTGGAGGTTCTTCAGTGCTGTTTTCACACTTTTTACCTGAAATAAACAAATCAAAAATTCAAGATTTACAGATAATTACGTCTCCTTAGTGATACCTTTACACGAATAATGAGGTGCTTATATAGCGCTTTATACCAAAGGTCTCAAAGCGCTTCACAATTACTACCCCTGTTCATCAGGCCTTGCGACCAGTTTTTGCAGCAGCTCAAGATCAGCGCATTCTGGTCTCTTACCTTCACAGGTACCCATTTATACTCCTGGGTAGAGAGAGGCAATTGAAGTAAAGTGTCTTGCCCAAGAACACAAGAACCATGTTCCCCATCAGGGTTCAAACCCACGTACCACGGCACGCAAGTCAAACACCGTAACCATTCGACCACAGCACTCCACAAAGTTAGGGTTAAAAATATATTTTTAACAAAAAACTAAGGCAGTAAAAAAAAAAAAATTGACGACAAAATTACTGCGGACTTACCTGTCCAGCCATGAGGTAATGGCAGACTTGTAACACTAGGAAGTAGACTTTGAGAGATTCCTTATTCGTGTCACTGCCGGTGTAGTTGTCAATGATGGAGCCACAGGTGGACAACACAGGATGCACCTCTGCATACTTCTTGTCTATCAACATTAACTGCAATCCAGAATACAGGAGAACATGGCTTAATAAACAGCTTTTAGTTTTCCTCTTTCGCACAGCTGATGGGCACATTTTGTTTGTCACAGAAACTTTCTGAATGATTTCAGCTAAGATGTGACGGTTTGCGTGGTGAAGTCAAGAACAGGAGTAAGTTTGCATGTGAAAGGAAATCTGTTTTGTGAGTTTGAGTGGTTATGGGAATAACCCCAATAAAAGGTTGGAATCCCCCAGTTTTCTGACGACAGACAGAGCATGCTGTCTGGTATGGTGAGTTTTCAATTGGTTCCTGTCTCAACCACGCAAACTATTCAGATTTCCTTTCGCAAGGTGCAATAACAAACTTAATCTTACATGTATTTCCAAAAATGTATGTCTGAGGTTCACCATCAAATTGAAGTCATGATTGTAGACTTATCCAGTGACTAGAATTTGAAGCAATAACTTAGGTGGAAGCACACTCATGCACAAGTCATGGATGCATACTCAACGCAATTTCGACCAATGCAAATGTGCAAATAAGCACTGAGCCACCTCTTGAATGGTCTGGGATTGGGGTCATATAGCCGGCCTCAGGTCGACATGCAATTTGCATGCGCCACGACGGAACCGTCGGCATCAAGCAGAAAAATAATGCTCAGGTCACAAAACTGAGAAATCGTGTGATTCTCTTGAACAAGCGGCATCCCGACGTAAAATAATCTCAACCATGCTCATGTCACCCTCGACGCGACAATCCACCATGATTCCACATCATAGACAGTCATGTGACTTCTTTACCAATAAGGGAGTAAATATGTGTTTGGCCGGTTCGGCTCGAGCCATTATCAGCGTGCATTCCCCTGATACGGTCTTACATGTACTTGCGGTATTCCCATTCACAAATACCTTTGAGTCGAAAAGTCGACACAAGTCAAAAATTATACATTTCCAATGATATTGTTGAACACTTTTATTTAATTTTTTAAACACCCCTCTAGCTATGGTATGGAATATCCTCTCGCGAGTAGGTAAACAATCTCCTTATATGGTGATTGACGCGTGCGCGTGGTGCGTACTGCGTGATTGACGCGTGGAGCGCCAGTGTAGTGTGCTGATTGGCTAAACAATCGTCGTAGAAGTTGAAATTTTTCTACCCTTGCGACTGTTGATTTTTTTTTAGCGCCGACTAATTCCGATCGTCTTAACATCGTCGCAGTTACACTCAGGTCGCAAAAAACAGCGACTGAAATGTTCCCGACGGTCGTAGCTCAGACACAGCTGCTTGATCCTGAAAAGTCAGTCGCCGACTGATCTGTGTCGTCGCAAGGTCGACCTGAGGGCGGCTTTAGTTGATAACAATCACCACTGATACAGATTTATCGCTCTTTTTGTCTTTCAGTCCAATTCTCACCACACTTGGTGACATGTTTTAGTTCTAATGATAAACCATACATGTATGACCAAGATTGTCTTAGGCGATATCTGAATCACTTCATTACGTCTGGCAGTAACACATGTCTACGGGAAGTGGCTACGGGAAGTGGCTACTGGAAGTGGCTACATCAGCTCCAATAAGCACATGTGTAATCGTCAGCCATAGTCACTTAATTCAGACATGCCTACATGGCTATCACAATTGATGATTGTTCCAAATGTTTCAACTAGCTCACCATTCCTTTACTGAGAAGAAACAGCGCCCTCGTGTACTCGGAGCTTGCAACCACTGCGTAGTCTGCGCCGACGCCGAGAAGCTCGCACGCCGAGATGAAATCCTTCTCGTGTGTGTGGATTTGCTGTGTGGACACAAAACAATACATTGGTGCTTATATAAAATGCTTTAAATACCAATGTCTTAAAGCTCTTTACAATTGTTACCGTGTTCATCGGGCCATTTAAAAACATTGATAAAACAGCTTGTTTTTAATACTTACTGCTAGCTGGAACAATAGAAGGCAGTGCCAGTATGCCGACTGCTGCGAAATACCGATGGCTTTGCGTAGAATTTGTTTCGCAAGATGTAATTGGCTCTGTAAGGTTGATACAGAAAACAAAGTTACGACAGAAACAGAGAGGTTAAGACCGGGGGGGGGGGGGGGGGGAATGTTAAGACAGAAAACAAATTAAGCCAGTGTACATGCAAACTGTCGGGGAGTCAGGTTGGCGTAGCGGGTCTTTCCTCGCCTTCCACCGCTGTGACCTGGGTTTGGTTCCTGCCTGGGCCAATACGTGGATTGGGTTTTCAGTCCCTGCCCGATTCCGTGGGTTTTTCCCAGAATATTCTTCTGGAGGTTTTCTTCCCACCTTTGAAACTGTAATTTCTTCTCATTGTCTTCTCTCTACAGGTTTCTTCAGGCTTGCGAGTTACAGTGACAAGGGCGCTTTTGAAAGAATCCTTGGTTTCATTACCAGAAATAATTAATAATAATAATAACAACTCCAACACACTTTTTATTAATTTTTGTTGATGTTCGCAGGTTTGCTTTTCAATTTTTTTCTGAGAAAACTTTGAACTTGTGCATCTTCAGCAGACTTGAGAATCAATGATTAAAACTCTGAAGTAAGATTTGAGGCTTTGCATGGTGGAGATACTAAATGATGAAAGGTTTGCAGAAACACCATGTGCAAATAATTTTTCAACTAAGAGAATGGTTCTGAAAAGAACCAGAGGTTCTCTAGAAGTGACATTTTGCAACTTCGAAGAAAAGTATTATCCATGTGTAAATCACCCAATTATGATTAAGCACCCAATCAAGTTTTATGTGGTCCGAGTTTAGTGCTGCTTGGGTATGTGTTCTCAAATGGGTCTGGGACACAGGGCTGGCGACACTTTCCTTCAATAAAATGATGCAGTTCCCAAAGAATGGATTTTCACTGCTTTCTCGGGAAGTATTGTATCCGGTGAGCCGAAACTTCAAACAGTACGTTTGTTTCAGCTGACTTTGAATGAAGTTGATCATGGAATTACTAAAAACAAATTATGAATTGCAATTGATTCTGTTGGCCTCTCTTTGTTTCAAAAATAAACTGTGTACCCTTAAAGTTTCCTTCTAAAAAGAATAATGTGATTTCAATTGCAATGAATTATATTTTTCAAGAGAAAAAACACCAAAAACAACAAAACTCCTCTTACTTGTTTTTCATGTATCCTCGCTAACTGGCTTGCTGCTTCAAATTTGACGTCATCAAATGAAGGAATCTGGAGTAAGTTCTTGTTAAGGAAATCATGAGTCGTCCATTTTCAAACATTTTAAATGTACTCCATATTAATTAACCCTAACCCCCATGGGGTATTCTCTAGGCACCCTGCCAAATGCAACAGAATGTAGTGAACTAATACATGCCAGCCTTGGTACCAAGTACCTACCTAGTCCGAAAATTTGGGACTCTCAATACTGTGTATGAGAGTCCCAAAACTTAAGGTATCCATATTGTGCAAAAGTTTGTGCTGCATAATAAAACCAGTGTGAATCAAATGTGCAAGCTTCTTACGCACTACAGTTTCTTCAATAATCCCCGAAACCTCTGCCCAGCAAAGTTGCTGTTGTGAGCATTGCATCACCAAAAATTCAGCGTTTAATTCTAATTTTGCAGGGTGTTATCGAAATCCAAACGCGAAACATCACGTTGATGTGTACTGCAATGCATTGTGCAAAAAGACTCCTCAGCTAAAACATTTTCATCGTGTAGATAAAACAGCGCCCTTTTGTTGATCTGAGTGAATGCAGAATGCTTCATTTTTTAACAGAGGGCGCTATGTTCATTTGGCCATCGATTAAAAAACAAGTAAGCTGCAAGGCTCTTCCTACACCTACCCAGAATACCTTGGGAATCACACCACCATTTCTAAAGCATGGAGAATGACGTGGATGGTTTTTGAACTGTCAAAAACTTGCGTTAAAATTGGATTTAAGGTCTCAAATTTTGCAGGTGACATGCTTGCAACTTAAGCATTTTGATGTATGTGTTGTGTGGGCATTACTTAGCCGAATGGTGAGTAAAAAAAACCTTTGTAGTAATTTTGTACGTTTTCATGCACTCACGGTCCCAGTCTGGTACCTACCCTGCCAAATGCAACGGAATGCAGGGGTGCAATGCATCAGATCAGGAGACTGCTAAATGCAACAACTTTTTTACCACTGGTGCATTCTGTTGCATTTAGCAGGGTTAGGATTAATAACTGCGATAATTCTCTCTCTGTCTGATATGGTGCCAGTAAAGAAAGGTCCACAGCACTCACACTCTGAGCAATAATCACCATGTGTCTTTTAGAACATTTTCTTAAAGTTTAAGGAGCAAAAAAAGTTGCGCTCAAGTAGTGTATTCTGTCAATTCAAATACGTGTGTAACTCAATCAGTGCAGGTGACCTTAAGTTAAAGCATGCATGAAAACAAAATCTTCTCTGTGCACTTGAGTGCGAACTTTCTAGAGTGCAGCACTTCATTAATTCACTGACATTTTCTGTCAAAAAAAAGCAGGGGGAAAGATTTCCATATAAGAAGTTCACTCAACACCCTGTGTACAAACCCTATGAGAGTGGACTGAAAAATTCTAAGTTTTTCCTAAGAAAATGCTTGTATTTTCTCACTGCTCAAATTGACTTTGATGACATGAAATTGCTATCTGGGGGCTTGTTAGTCAATACAGAGGAAAATTAGTGAACTTCTTATATGGAAATCTTTCCAAGCAGGTTTCCAACCCGAAGTACTTACAAAACAATGACATTAGGCATAAAGATCATAAGCTTGAATATTCTAGCTGAGAACATTTTGAATATTTATAGCCGGACTTTTTCGAGTTCTAATGGAACTTTTACTAGTACAATGTGGTTTGTAAACAAAAAACAAAAACTGGCCCAAATTGAAACACTCCATTGGGGAATTGAAAAAAATCTACTTCAATGCAATTTGTAACAAAGAATTACATTTCATTTCAAAGAATTCAGAACATTTGTACAATAACCTTTTCCTCATGTTCACACTGGTGAAATGTTTCATTCCTCTAAATCTGAATGTTTTGGAAATGTAAACATTCTAAATTGATGGGTCAAACATTTTTAACCTTTTGATGGAAAATCACTCAATATAGTTTTAAAAATTTCTCAAACCTTTCCCCCCAGGATCTGGAAAAATAAACATCAAATTGCCATATCTGGGAAGTAATTGTAAACCATATGACAGGGGTCAGGGCTACAGAAAGGCTGCATCATTTTACATGTTGATTTCTGTATCAGAAAATAAATCAAATACACCTTTTGTGCCATCTATGATCGTGTTTTGTGGGCAAAAACCCTATTCACAGAAATGCAGTGTTTATCTTTCTGAAATATTCATCCTTTTCCGCCATCAAATCGGCTCATTTGAATGAACAGACAAGCGCCGCACTGCGCTATCAACAACATAATAATGATTGCATGGAAACGCATGCGTGATGACCCCCACATCTGACATCATGCATTACACACAGTAATAAAAATCCGGCCGTACACACACTACACACAGCGGCATATGCACACACGTTCAGTAATGTAATCGAAAAGGATACACTCTGCGAGACGGCCCACTACAGTTTAGGGAGGAAATAAACGAAAAAGATCAATTAGTAAGCGGTCTTACAGAAACCTTTCAAATAACAGACAATCATTTTATCGTGTGCGCAAAATTCACGGGTTGGAACCGCGTATTTCGGGGCAGACGGGTTGGGGAATTTTAATTTAACTCACCGCTTTTTCCAAATGTGTCCGCGCCAGGTCGACGTTCTTCGTGTGCGTGAACAATAAGCTGCCTAGCTGGACGTGTGTTCGGGCCTCGATCCTCGGCGGCGGTTTGAAGTGAAAAATGGACTGTAAACAGTGGATACAGTGCTTGATTTTGGGCGGGCTGGCCGTCCTGAAGCTCTCCGCGATCCCTAGAAGAGACAGGTACCACGAATCTGTGGGTATCGGCGGGGCAGACGCCATTTTTGGGTCGTTACTTGGGCCTTCCCGCTGGTCGAATTTTTTTTCTACTCGACTCGCGATTTGCGATTTTTCTGTCTGATGAAGGACGCCAAAAACGACATAGCGCCCTCTCGCGAAATCGTCGGTTGGGTGGTCTCAATTTTCTTTTTCTTTCATTATGTGCATGTGACTTATGATGTCATGTATTGTTTTTATTTCAGCCGGGTGTGGTCTGGATATTTTATTATGCTGGTTTCCTTATCGGAGAAAACAAGGAGCTTCTCAATCTTCGGTGCAATAAGTTATTTCACATCTAGCACATGAATGATATGACTTCCAAGAGTATAACATCAACAGCGAACATCCTAAAATGGATGGTCGATGTATTATGTCTGAATAAGGAACTATCGGTGATCGGCACTGATGATAATCCCCAATTATATACTTCTCTTTGGGTTTAAACCAATTAGACATGAATTGTTTTGAATTTTATTTTTTTTTACTTTGATAATCCTCTTTATCAAAATTAACACCCGTCTATCTCCCCCCCCCCCCCTAAAAAAGGAAAATTTAAATTGAGGTGAATATTGTCTTAAATCTCCCTTTTATCCTTAAACTTTCCCATCTATTCTATTCCCAAATAAAAATTCTCGAACATACCGAAAGGTTTTTTTTTGTTGTATTTTGATCCCCTTTCTAAATGTTGGTCCATTCTGAAACCTGGGAGAATTTGGGAGAGCCTACCCCCCCCCCCCATCTCCACCCCTTCAGAAGTTGGGGAATCTAGAAATTAATTATTTTTTTAGTTAAAAATAATAATCGCCCTCGAAAATGGACCTATTTTCTAATTAGTACGTCAACAAGGCCAAAGGCTGCGATTTCAATACGAAAATGTTATTGAACAGTAGAAGTTTCTCTCAAAACGTATTCTTAGACCTCACCCACCACTGTCCTCCCCAAAATGATAATTGGGGGGGGGGGATTTTATAAGCAAAACATACACACAACAAAACGTAATAAGGAAATAAGTCCAAAAGTCCATTCTAAAAGACGTTGGCGAAAGAAGAGCTATCTAACCTTTCCGAAATTTTATCAACACAAAGTGAACCTGAAATACATAAATTGAGTGGAAATTGCCCCACTTCTTATGCTTTTTGATTGAGTAAGATTGAAATCATGTGTAGTTGACGGCTCATTCCTTATGATGCCAAGAAGGAAACCTAGATTATAACCCCTTTAATATGATCATGATTAATATAATCATAATACATTACCCTTTCAGGACGACATGCTGAGAGTATTCAGATAATGTATTTCTGTACCGATGCAGAAAACTTAAAGGCAGTTTAATATAGCCGGGGTGTCCTTACTCCTACACATGTTACTCCGTCGTAGATATGGGTTAGTTAATTAGATTTACCGCGAATTTCTTGTTCACGAACACAATTACGTATAACAGAGCGCGTTTTAATTCAGCGGGCTGCACTTGTCATGATGTAACGAAAAACCTTCCATTCCTCCACATTAAAAGCCTAAAAATAATACCTTATCTTATTGTCTCAATTGAATTAGGTTTTGAAACGGAAAATGGCAGAATCTGTCAAGTAGTGGAATGGTTAAGGTGGTTCCATCATGGGCGTCGCCAGGATTTTTTCTAGAGGGGGGCAAAGCTCTCAAATCTTTGTACTTTCTCTATATACTCAATTTAGTATTCGAGGGTGGGCGGAGGAAATTTGCACACCCCACCCCATTGACACCCTTGCGGACGCCCATGTTGTGAAATGTGCATTAAAATAACAGCAATATGACTTCACACCTCGTATTCTTCCTTCTTTTTTTATTTAAGTTTTTTTCTCCTTTATTTTTTTCTTTTTGGGGGTGCTTTTCGGGGGGGAGGGGGCAAGCGCCCCCTTGCCCCCCCCCCCCCCCCGCGACGTCCATGTTGGTTCACTACAGCTGTCCGTGTTTGGGTTCGAATTCTATAATAAATATCCTTTTGTTCCTCTAGGCCTATAGGTTTCGACGCACGCCATAAAAGATTGAATTTAATGTCATAGGCCTACAACCAGTAGGTCTATACCTCAGTGTGATCAGTAAGCTCTGTTGCTGGGTTGTCAGGGACTAGCATCTTCGTAAAGGTTCAAGGGAACTGGCCCACTCGGAAGCCCCTGGTCCGCGGCTTAGGGGCCGCCCCGTTTCCTCCCTTTTGTAGCGCTGGACCTGTACCTTTGGGTTGCATGGATTGACAGGGACAAGGAGGTGTGATGGGCTACTCTTCGAATCCAAGTCATTTGGATATCGTTTGAAAAATTTTCTATTTTGTAGCTCATAAACGCCCAGTTCTTCCATAGGCCTACCTTTACGTTTTTATAGAGAAATAATTTTCTTTATCAGTATTCGATTTTGAGTCAATCTTTTGGAGAATAACCTTTATTAAAAATGAATACATTTTACCAATTGGGATTATATAAATATGACGTGCGCGTCTTTTTGTAATTTTGTAAGTTGACAATTTTGCCAATATACATCGCATCTTTCGATTACTCAGTTGGAGGATATCAGTTGAATAGCATCCGAGGTGGGATGCGGTAAAGGGGAAAATAACAACACCTCCCCCCCCCCAACTCCGAATAAGAGTGCCCTTTTTTTAACGTCATGCGAACTTAACTGGCGTCGAACAATCGTGATTCGTCATCGTGCGACTAACCGAATCGAAAGTGTTTGGTCTACGTGATGTCGTTGCAATGTAAATCTCTTAAAACCAAGTAAAATAAAAACATGTTTAGCGTCCCCGCCCGCTTCCTTTTTGGAGGCTGCCTCCTTTTTTTATACGAAAAAAAATGATAAATTTTAAACATTGACATCATTTTGACCTCTTTGTCTGTTGCATCTAGCCCATATAAAGCTGGTATGTCATTTCCTGAGTCCAAGTGGAGGCCATTAAAAAAAAGCTTGCGGCCATCTTGAAAAATAGCTCGGTCGGGCGGCCATTTTGGAGGGGAGGAAAAAAAGGGCCTCCTTCCTTTTTTGTTTTTCAAAAAGGCAGGACGCTAAGGCCCCCCCCAAAAAAGTCTCCGGTTTCTGGTATGGAGCTTGCCCCAAAAGTGGTGCGGCGACGCGGCTTTTTTTTTTTTTTTACCTGTTTTTTTTTTTTTTTTTTTGCTTCAAATGTCGGCTGATGACTGCAAATGGTGCCCGACTAAACTTAGTGCAAATATATGGGAGTCCAGAGAGGCCACATAAATCTTATTCTCGATCATAACCCCATCTAAAAACACTTTTTCATTTTGCCGACGCGCATGGCTACTGCGACGCGCGCGCATACCAGAAACCGGAGACTTTTTTTTTTTGGCCTAAACATGGGGTTTTTTTTATTTGGCCTAAAGTTGGCTTTTTTTCTTTACCATGTGCCCTTTTTTACGTCTAATACCGCCCCTCTCCCCCACCTCCAATCAAAATGACCTCAGTGCTACGCGGCTGAGAAATACAAAGTACCGTCTAAGTATACTGTCTTCATTATTAGGGCAAAACCTAATTTGATACTGTCTTCTTGAGGAGAATTTGTGCACAGTCATATGTTCGAATCCAGCCCAAATGATTAGTGGTGCTTTCTTTTTTAAATAATGGCAGCAGACTATATATTTATGTGCAACTTCACAGCATGAGCGGTAGAAATTGTGGTTTCTGCTCCAGGTTCGCTGGATTTCAGGAGTACAAGATTTGTGAAAAAAAAATACTTTTGTTTTACCGAGCCAGACATTTTAAAATCACCCCCCTTTTGTTGACATGTTGTCTACGACTGAGGCAAAACAACCCATATGCATGATGCCACAACCTATATCTTTGTTGACCTTGCTCTCCAAAAGAAATCGATAACTAAAAATCCTTTTTTTTTAATCCCTGCTTTACACAGTAAAATTTCAAAAATGAGAAAAATTAGGGCCTCTTCCCAAATTGATGATGTTTACACTAACATATCAATCTAGATCGTCTCGATAAAAAACACATGTAGGCCTGAGAATTATAGTCTCATTTTACCCTCAAGACAAATATATGACTGTTTAGACATGTATGTAATATTCATGTATTTTGAATGAAAACTTCGAAATAAAAACACGTCGTGTGGGCTGGATTACAATAAGAAAACTTGAATAATTATTGCACAAATTACGGGTTTGGTTTCGCAAGAAAATAAAAACAAGTAAAATATACCATCACTGGAATTGATTTTACGCGGTTTCGTGTGGCATTCAGGGACACCGTAAAAACAAAAATAGCACGAAAAGAAGATCATTATAGATTCAAGATGCGGTGTGGGTGGAGTCTAGCAAGTCACCGCTGGCGTTCAACTTGGCATCGCATAGCCACTAGTGTACGTCATGTACGGACGGAGCCGCATTACACTCACTGCATGCAGGCACACTGTGCCCTACATGTACATGTACATGTACATGTACATGTACATGTACATTGTGATGCTCGCTGTGCTGTGACGCAGATAAAGCTATTGCCTGAACGAATCGACCCATTGAATAGTGTAGGCCATTCAGCGTGAGTGCAATATAAAAGCCGTTGCCCTACACGTGTACTGTGAGCTGTACACAACCAATGGCCGCATTACACGGTTAGTTATACATGTACAATGCTATCTAGAGCTGGGTCGTAGCTGCATGGGCGGGTGTACTAAGAGAACTGCCAGCCAGCTACGGATTAACGTTAAAGATGATACCACGTGCCCTTAAAATAATGGATTTTTGCCCCCTAACGAATTTTCAATTTGTATGTTTTGTTTTAATGAATAAAATTCTTTATTCTGAGTTTGAGCGTCTGCAACCCTCTTAGTTTTGCGCACAAATAAACCCGCCATAATTCGATTTTTGTGAGGAAGGTGGATTTTTCTCGTTTCAGAGTGTTATTCAAAAGTGAATGAATACATTTTTCTAGGAAAATAACAATTGGAAGAAATATGTTTTGCGAGACGGTGAAACTCGAAAATAGCACTGGAAACAAATCTCTAATAAAAATGCAAAAAATCAAGTCCTTCTAGCAGGATTCGAACCAGCGACCTATGGATAAATGCCCTGAGCTTTTCATGTGCTTGCGTGCTTACAGTCCACCGC